TGGAATGAACAACTACAACGCTTAATGAACAACCGCTTCAGTCAACTGGAACAAATAAATTAGAGTAATACGACAAGGCAATCCAAAAACAACCTACCACTAGACGAAGGCCAAGCATCCAACGCATCACCAATCACAGTGTGCTCAGCAACGAAAGCAAGAGAAGAACTTCCTCAAGGTAATTACCCATCTACACCAACCCTTAACCACATGCTAGCAAACATGGTCCAAATGTCAGAAGCGATATCAACATCGAATGTGAATGACAATGAAAAAAGCCAGTTTTATGCAGACAAATTATCAATAATCAAAAAAGGATATAACAAATTCTCAGCAATAAATTATGAAAATTTCAAACAAATGCCAACGATAGACGGTTTTGATAACCCATTAGTGGCCAAGATAGAGAGCATAAGGCTTTGATAGATATCAAATTGGTCTGAAGATCAAAAAATTATAGAGATAATACCACAAAAACTGAATTTGACATCACAAATATGGAAGTCAATTACATTCGGATCATACATAGATCTCCAAAAATTTGCCTATAAAAATTTAAAATCTAATGTAAAGTTTCTCCAAGACGAAGTACCATTACAAACAATGGAAGGAGGGTTAGTGTCTATTCAGAAACACAGCTCATACAGCAAGTTTAATGATATATCTGAGTGGCTGCTTGCATTCAGAGCATATATGGAATCAGTAATAATGATATACGAGTTAAAAGAACAGGAATTAAATTTTTACCGCGACCACATTAGCAGTCTTTGTACGAAATACGAGTTCACCGCAGTAAAGTCCTACGATGAAGATCGGTGCTTAGCATTAGCCATGGATAGAGATTCAATATTATTCGATCGGAGCATTGAAGTGGAAGGAGAGAATTTCGACATAACAACAACAAAGAAGACCAAAATCATCAAAGCAAGGCCATATAGAAATGCATATCATGGTATGATGGCAGAGAAATCTGCATCAATTGAAATCGGAAATTCTGCGGCGACGAAAAAAGATGCAGCCGCGTCCATGCATATCTCCTGTGCAAAAAAATGGGCCACACAGAGTGCAGATGCTACTCGAATAATACATTATCCAACCCAGCAAGTAAATATAGCAACCAGACAGAGTGCCAAAATTAAAATAAAAAAAAAATTTTCTGTAAATTCATACATATGAACATGTAATAAATATATATAGTAAATATATGAAATAAATAAATATATATATAATAATGATCGATTATCATAAAAAAAAAAAATAAGTAAAACACACCAAACTAATATAGATATTATATAGATAATAGGCATACGAGAATGTTCCAGTATAAAGCCCAATTTAAACTCTCAAGAAATATAACTACTTGCAAACCACCAATCCTCCAATCAGTAAACAAAACATTTGGATGTATCCCTCTAAGAGAAATGCTATTCACAGCAGATAAAATTAAAATAATGCTCCAATTGCACCCTAGCCGATTTAATATTAGAACTACAGTTGACATTAATGCGTTTATGACTCTTACAAATTAACATCCTAATAGGCCATTTATAGAGTACCTAATAAAAGGCATCACTCAAGGGTTTAGGTTCAATTTTTCAGGGTCAAGAACAAAAAAAGTTCAAACAAATCTAAAATCGATCGAACTGGACCTGGCTTCTCTGGATAAATATATTCAAGACGAAATAAATAAAGGCTGTATATGCGGCCCCTTTTCTGAAAAGCAACCCTCATGTGATTTATATCATGTCAACCCATGTGCTTAGTCGAGAAGAAAGAACTAATCAAAAAATATTCAGAGTAATATCACACTTGTCAGCCCCGCTTAGATTAAGTGTAAACGATGGCATCGATGCTTTAGAGTTCGCGACAAAATATGAAAATGTAAATCACGCGATACGATGTGTAAATCTGTATGGGAAAGGGTGCACATTATTGAAAATCGATATTAAAGACACATACAGGATATTACTAGTACATCCTGTTGATCAAGTATTACAAGACATGGGGTGTAAAGGGCATATATATTTCAATAAGGCACTGGCATTCAGAAATAGAGCTTCGGGGCATTTTCTGCAGATTCGCAAATATAATTGCTTGGATTGCAACAAACCAAGGCATTAGATTAATAATTCACTATGTGGACGATTTCTTAATTATTGCAAAATCTGATGGGCAAAAAGAGTTAAAACAATTTCTGCGCATTTTAGATATCTTAAAAGTTCCATTTAAGGAATCAAAGCTCGAGGGTCCTAATACCAAAATTACATTCTTAGGCATTCTAGTTAACACAGAAAAGATGTTAGTATCAATTCCGCAAAAGAAAAAGCAAAAAATAAAAAAATTACTTTCCGAGTGGGGCACCCGGAAATGGGGCTACAAGAAGGAATTTCACTCCTTGGTTGGTTTTTTGATGTGGCTGTGCCAGGTGTTACCACAAGGCAGGCCATTCATACAATGGCTTATAAAAGCCCAAGAAATCTCTAGGAACCTGAAGCACCATATAAGAATAACAAACCTGATGATCAATGATATACAATAGTGGCATAACATAATTGACAGATGGCTGGGAACTTACTTAATGGAAGATCAAGAATGGCAATGGCCTAACCTAAGTAACCTACACACAGATGCATCAAACATTGGCAGAGGCGCAATATTTGAAGGCTATTTCACGGCATTTACATAGGCAGACCAGATGACGGCGACACATAATGATATACAAGAGCAAGAGATATTGACAACATTGATTGCAGTCTGCACTTTCTCACCTTTATGGACTAGAAAAAGATTTATAATATAGACGGATAATCAAGCAAACGTGGAAGCATACTACTCTGGGTATTGTAAAAATAGTAAGATAAACAAGATCATAGCACAATTATACAAAACTCAAATACAAAAGAATTTTTCCATTAGATTAGAGCATATAGCTGGAAAATTGAATGTAGATGCCGACCTACTTTCCTGGAGTGGTCACAAAGAATTCATAATCAAAAATCCTTTATCATGTTACCTCCAACCCAACATGCCTCTTGAGTATACTAACAGAATATCTCTCATTCAATCCTTGTCACAGTAGGTCTCTACAAGCGGAATGATTTTAGAGCCGAAGTTAAACGACCAAAGAAAGCCTAGCAGAAATGATGAAAACAACAAAAAATCATACCAAAATGTCGGATAGGACAGAACTCCACTAGACAAGCAGGCAGCAAAAATACTAAACTTAGAACCACCCAAGTACAAAACATATGAAGCAATAGTAAAGAGATATCAAATATTGGCAACAGAACATCAATGGTTTAACAAAAATGGTAATATGTGGCCCATATCCAAAGAGTCGTTAATAGATTTCATCACATGGTTAAGTGGCAGAGTAACTCCTCCAACCATAAAATCCTATTTATCAGCACTGAAAAATCATCATATCATGAATGGGCATGACTGGACCCAAGTAAGAGAAGACCCACTGGTGAAACAAATATTTAAAACCATAGAAGTGAATCATAAGCACATACCTGTCAAACAAAAAACATACATTACACGAGATCACCTGAGATATATAAAGGAAAGCATAAATCCAAAAAATTCCAACGCTTTACTCTTTTGGACTGTAGCATTAACGGCGTTTTATGGGTTGGCACACCTCAGCAAGCTACTCCCAAATGGCAATACGAATAGAGACAAGATACCATGTGTGAAAGCACTAAGGTTTGAAAAAGTGGGGTCAATAACATTTGCAATGATCCACTTGCATGGACCAAAAATCATAAATCAGCAAACAGGGTATTTTTAGTTATAAATCCAACAAAAGATAATCTATGTCCTATCCAAGCACTCAAAATATATGTAATCCGGCATACAAATACAGCATATGCACCAGGCAATGAAGCATTGTTAGTCAGGTTCAATAGATCTTGGTCAACAAAATGGTGGTTCTGTAACAAGTTGAAGTCAATCCTGCCCAATGATAATGTCATGGGACATAGCTTCAGGGCCGGTGAAATGACAGAACTTGTGATGCGCAGAATCCAACCAGTAATGATACAAAAGATAGGATGATGGGATTCCGATGCTTTTTATAGATACATCAGAGCACACCTAGCAATGATAGCCCACATCCTCGTCAGGGCATATTCGAAATAAAAAAAAAAAAAAAATTATTAATAACAACGAAGAAATTGACACAACATAAAGATACACAATGATCAGACCTCACACAATTTCTTAAAATGTTTGGAATGATTCGGCCTGATCAGTGCGAATTACATAACTATAAAATAAAGACTAGCTATTAAAAAAAAAAAAAAAAAAGAGACTCAATGATGGAATCATAAAATTTTTGGAACACGTGATTCCATCATTTCTTCATTCGCAGCCTGCTTGCTTCGGCAGGCGGGGAAAGACCCCACTGGCTAATTCTGCAGAGACTCCCAGTGCAATTACGGTTGCTTCTGTCATGGGAGGCCTCTACTATTATGACCAACCCAGTCAATTTCTCACTTTCTGTCATGTATTCTACTAACATGAATTCAATAAAAATATCACTTCTGGCATAAAATCGTCTGTCGGCATAGTCCAAATTAACGCATCAAGTTGTGTAATGTGAATACTTTTCATGCGAAGTGATGGTACATCACGTGATTGAAAAGAGAGCGGCCACACAAACTTCCTGCCACACACACTGTCACGGGTAATTACAAGCATTTCAAGCCGTGCGTGAAGATCACAGGGCAACTGCGGAAGCAATGAGCAGGCATGGGAAGATCGAACGAAATTGGGCAACAATGATGACAACACATGCCTGGCGCAAAGAATCAGGATTGGGAAACAGGTAAACTGAGTATAAGTACAAACATCGATGAAATTAAGCTCTCACGGCGTTGAAAAAACAAGACAAAATCTTCACTATGGGAGAAAAAAAAAATATATCCAACGAACAAAACGAACCTGAAAAAATAGATATACAAATCAAAGCATATATCGACAACGCCTGTCAAAATATGATATCAACAATCATAGACAAAGTAAAGGAATTAATAAACCAGCAAGCAGAAAACCAAAGAGGCAGGAATGAACAACTACAACACTTAATGGACAACCGCTTCAGTCAACTAGAACAAATAAATTGGAGTAATACGACAAGGCAATCCAGAGACAACCTACCACCAGATGAAGGCCAAGCATCCAACGCATCACCAATCACAGTGTGCTCAGCAATGGAAGCAAGAGAAGAACTTCCTCAAGGTAATTATCCATTTACACCAACCCTTAACCACATACTAGCAAACATGGTCCAAATGTCAGAAGTGATATCAACATCGAATGTAAATGAAAATGAAAAAAGCCGGTTTCATGCAGACAAATCATCAATAATCAAAAAAGGATGTAACAAATTCCCAGCAATAAATTATAAAAATTTCAAACAAATGCCAATGATAGATGGTTTTGATAACCCATTGGTGGCCAAGATAGAGAGTATAAGGCTTTGGTGGATATCAAATTGGTCCAAAGATCAAAAATTATAGAGATGATACCACAAAAACTGAATTTGACATCACGAATATGGAAGTCAATTACATTCGGATCATACATAGACCTCCAAGAATTTGCCTATAAAAATTTAAAATCTAATGTGAAGTTTTTCTATGACGAAGTACCATTACAAACGACGGAAGGAGGGTTAGTGTCTATTCAGAAACGCAGCTCATACAGCAAGTTTAATGATATATCTGAGTGGCTGCTTGCATTCAGAGCATATATGGAATCAGTAATAATGATATATGAGTTAAGAGAACAGGAGTTAAATTTTTATCACGACTACATTAGCAGTTTTTGTACGAAATACAAGTTCACTGTAGTAATATCCTACGACGAAGATCGGCGCTTAGCATTAGCCATGGATAGAGATTTAACATTATTCGATCGGAGCATTGAAGTGGAAGAAGAGAATTTCAACGTAACAACAACAAAGAAGACCAAAATTATCAAAGCAAGGCCATATAAAAATGACATATCATGGCATAATGGCAGAGAAATTTACATCAATTGAAATTGGAAATTCTGTGCTGTGTCCATGCATGTCTCCTATACAAAAAGATGGGCCACACAGAGCGCAGATGCTACTCAAATAATACATTATCCAACTCAGCGAGTAAATATAGCAACCAGACAGAGAGCCAAAATTAAAAAAAATAAAATAAATTTTTCTGTAAATTCATACATATGAACATGTAATAAATATATATAGTAAATACATGAAATAAATAAATATATATATAATAATGATCGATTATCATAAAAAAAAATAAAAAAATAAGTAAAACATATCAAACTAATATAGGTATTATATAGATAATAAGCATACGGGAATGTTCCGGTATAAAGCCCAATTTAAACTCTCAAGAAATATAACAATGTTCGAACTACCAATTCTCCAATCAGTAAACGAAATGTTTAGACGTATCCCTCCAAGAGAAATGCCATTCACGGCAGACGAAATTAAAATAATGCTCTAATTGGACCCCAGCCGATTTAATATTAGAACTACAGTTGATATTAATACGTTTATGACCCTTACAAATCAACATCCTAACAGGCCATTTATAGAGTACCTAATAAAAGGCATCACTCAAGGGTTTAGGTTCAATTTTTCAGGGTCAAGAAAGTTCAAACAAATCTAAAATCGACCAAACTGGACCCGGCTTCTCTGAATAAATATATTCAAGACAAAATAAGTAAAGGCTGTATATGCGGCCCCTTTTCCGAAAAGCAACCCCCATGTGATTTATATCATGTTAACCCATGTGGCTTAGTCGAGAAGAAAGGTACTGACCCAAAAATATTCAGAGTAATATCACACTTGTCAGCCCTGCTTGGGTTAAGTGTAAACGATGACATCGATGCTTTAGAGTTCGCGACAAAATACGAAAATGTAAATCACGCGATACGATGTGTAAATCTGTATAGGAAAGGGTGTACATTATCGAAAATCGATATTAAAGATGCATACAGGATATTACCAGTACATCCTGTCGATCAAGTATTACAAGGCATGGGATATAAAGGGTATATATATTTTGATAAGGCACTGGCATTCGGGAATAGAGCTTCGGGAAATTTTCTGCAGATTCACAGATGTAATTGCTTGGATTGCAACAAACCAAGGCATTAGATCAATAATCCACTATGTGGATGATTTCTTAATTATTGCAAAATCTGATAAGCTAAAAGAGTTAAAACAATTTCTGTGCATTTTAGATATCTTAAAAGTTCTATTCAAGGAATCAAAGCTCGAGAGTCCTAGTACCAAAATTACATTTTTAGGCATTCTAGTTAACACAGAAAAGATGTTAGTATTAGTTTCACAAAAGAAAAAGCAAAAAATAAAGGAATTACTTTCTGAGTGGGGCACCCAGAAATGGGGCTACAAGAAGGAACTTCAGTCCTTGGTTAGTTCTTTGATGTGGCTGTGCCAGGTGTTACTACAAAGCAGGCTATTCATACAATGGATTATAAAAGCCCAAGAAATCTCTAGGAACCCAAAGCACCATATAAGAATAACAAACCTGATGATTAACGACATACGATAGTAGCATAACATAATTAACAGATGGCCGGAACTTACTTAATGGAAGATCAAGAATGGCAATGGCCTAACTAGTGCTCCGCAAATTCAAATTAAAGTTTGAATCCCAAATCAATTATTTGATCAAATCAAATATTTGACCAAATCAAATATTTGACCAAATCAAATTAACCAAATAGATCAAATAAGTGATTTATATAAATTTGTTTAATGTGCGTATACAAGTCCTTTAAAATAGTAAACCCACTATGAGTTAAAGCCACCGATAGTATTTTTGGGTCCATTATATTAAAGACCAGACAGGCACATCCTAAAACGCACCTAGTATCGCCACCACGATTAGTTACATAATCGCTTT